TTCCTTAATACCGAAAAACGTAGTAATTCGACTAAGGAATTAAACCCTTTCTTTTACAGCTATATACGCTAGCGACCACTTGGTTAGTGAAGCGGTTCGACATTACATTTTAAAGTATGACTTCATTTTATTGATTGTAGAATTCGTACCTTAATCTATCTCGATAATTCCACCCTGTCTATTGACTATTATGACTTATAAAGTCATAATACATTGAAACAATAAGATCATTATAACAATGTTCATTGTGGGGAATGTATTGTCACTAATTACTATTTTCCTACCAAAACATTCGATGCAGCACAAGCATCTATGGGACCGATCTTGATCTGCATATAATTTCATTTCCAGAATAATTTGGAGTTTAAACTGTTAAACACCGCGAGGACACCGGTGACCGCAACCTATTGTTCTTTAATTGTGTCTATAATGACGATACTCAATATAGTATACTCAATTTAGTATACTCAATTTAGTATACTCAATTTAGTATACTCAATTTAGTATACTCAATTTAGTATACTCAATTTAGTATACTTATAGTCATAATCAACACATTCATTAGTTCCTTCAAACTTTAAAGAAAGAGCGTATTCCATTTTAGATGGCCGACAACGTACCTGTGACTCCTCTCGTGTTGCGGGTGTACATGCGCGGCGCTGATCGCTTACCATCAGGTGATTCGTCTGTTGGTGTGCCTCCTATTCCATAAAAAAGTGAATGGCTAATAGATAACAAAACAGACATACAATACACTATCTTCTAGACCGTTGTGATTTTAGTCTAACCTTGGTATGAGTATAAACAACTGGTCTGTTATCTAATATAGTTCAATAGTCAATGCATGCAATTTAAAACCTCGTGTTTGGCATTTGCTACCATTATCTGAAGAAGCCAAATCATATAAAAAACGAATATAATTCTTAGTACTAGGTACTAACTAAAATAAGTTTCTAAAGATGTACTGTAAACTATACATTATTTTCAATGGTAAAAAATCTATTATCATCAGGCAAACTAAAACGTTTGTTATTCTATATTCTCCTAAAAATGAATACATACGTACATAAAAAATACCTTTTGCATTAACATGAATAATAAACAAAAAAGAAATTGACACTGTTTTTTTTAAGGGGGTAATATTAGCCAATGACTTCTCCCACCCGGGTGAGTTGAGAGGGAGTGTCAGACTCTTACTGAATAAAAACCACCTCGTTCCTACTCTTGCACTTCGAACCGGAGCCCCTGCAATCCGTTAAGGTCTTCGCGGCTAAATTGACACTGCAGTACGTAACTTCATGTCGCGGAGAACCTAACGGGTTACCGGGGCTCCGGCTCGACGGGCAGGAGAAGGAATGAGGTGGTTTTTAGTCAGTAAGAGTCTGACACTCCGTCCCGCCTCCCCCAGGCGGGGGCAGTCACTCGATGATTTTCCCCCTTAAAAAAAGTACGTAACTTCTTGTCATAGATTTTATGACATACTTACTTAGAAAAAAATAAAGTTACCCACATAAGGTAAACATTGATTTCTCAGAGCGTAACTAATTTATTTATTTCTGAAATTTTCACTTGTTTGTGTTTTTTTATCACAAAAGTCGGCCTAAATCATTTTTAATCGGTTAACACGTGAGATTAGCATGTCGTATCTTCTATTACGAATGTATAAATAGCTGGAGTCCAATTGTATTTATAGAATAGTTTGAAGACGAAACGAAAGTTTATAAAGAATGTCTCAGTGTTGTTACGTCACTGGCCATTCGCACGGCGTCTGATAGTTTCGAATTAAATTAAAAAACATTGAGTGTTCCAAAAAAAAAAATTCACTTTGAAATAACCTTTTTTAATAAGACTTTCATTGTCCAAACAAGAAGTGATTGAGTTAAACAACGCCCCATTCATGAATTTATTATCGTAATTTTTTGAGTTTTTTCTTATCAAGTGCATTATAATGTAACATTCTTTTAACCTATCGACCTGTACTTTTACATAAACTGTGATTTAGTGGAAATCAGTGTTAAATTCAATCGTCTGTTAAATAAGTCCCATATGTTTTGCAGTCGTCAGTTCACTCACATGGTCGTACAATATCCGTGGATTGAACAAGTGTTTCTAGTGTGTAAACAGTTTTCTAGTTGGATTTTAAAAGAAAATTCATATAAAAAGGTGAGAGTAAATTTTTATATTGATATTAAATTATATAATAGTAATACTCACTTTATAATTGACACATTATTAGGAGCGATAAAATATTATGTATCTCCTATTTATTCTAAGCTACTTAAACATAGGTATATGTATTACATTAGTGAATTGTGACATTTTAAATATACAATTATAGGTATACAAATAGTAACTGATTGCCTACTATTAAGTCATTTGTTCTGACTGTCAAACACCAAGCGGTCACCGGTGACCGCAACCTATTGTTCTTTAATTGTGTCTATATATACGGTACTCGACGAGCTAAATTCTAATGTTACAAAGATGTTAGTGTATTTATCAATTAGCTCTGGTCACATGGATTACCTACCCTGTGTCTATATACCACCTTACAATACTAATTTTATAAAGTTTCGCGTTTATAATATTAGTATTATAAACGTATTATCTCATCGTATCTCACCACCTATTACATGGGATTCATAACATAAATACTGAAAACTGGGTATTACATTGTACAGTGGGATAATGTACACTTCTGCCTATCCCTTCGGGGATGAAAAGGCGTGATGTTTTGTTATTATAAACGTGAAACTTTGTGTGTACCTATGTTTGTTATTCAATCCCATCAACACGGCTAAAGGGATCGGTATGAAATTTGGGACTGGGGTAGATTATGGTGTGGAATAACACATAGGCTATATCCCACGAGAACATGGGCGAAGCCGCTGGCAGAAGCTAGTATGGTGATAAAAGTTATGTTAGCTCGCGAAAATATGTAAGTTTTGCAGCTAGATGAAATTACTTTAACATCTTGCGTGGAGTTTCGGAGCCTATTCGATTCGAAATATCACATCGAGAATAGATGAATGCATCGAATAAGTTACGGTTTTTAAACATTAGTTTCGATCGATATATTAAGCATAAACGATGTGTCTAATGGCTGATTTATGATTATGTAGTTCTATGTTAAAAACTCGATAGTATACGATACGAAGTACCATAACAATTTAATTTACTCTTGTACACAAAAATGGGCATGTTAGCGAAACTAAAGAACTAGGTATAACCTTTTTTTATGAGGGGGAAATCATCCTATGAGATTATCCCGCCCCGGTGAGGCGAGAGGGAGTGTCAGAATCTTACTAACTAAAAACCACCCCGTTTCTACTCTTGCACTTCGAGCCGGGACCCCGGTAACCCGTTAAATCTTCCATGGAAAGAACTATAATCTAAGAACTATTGTCCAATTTGTTATATTGCAATTTTTGTAACATATTATTACTATCTGTCGCGCGGTGTCACTCGCTGCTCGGCTCCTATTAGTAATAGTATGATATTTTATAGCCTATAGACTTCCTCGATATAATGGACTATTCAAAATAAAAATATTTTTCCAAATCGGACTAGTCGTTCCGTCGATTATTAGCCGCGTTCAAACAAACAAACACACATACAAACAAACTCTTCAGCTTTTGTATATTAGTAGATGTTAAATAAATAGCAACATGTTATTATGAAATGTGTATTTATTCAATTGAAATAAAAGCCAATTTGTTTGTTAATTGTTATTTTTTGTTATGCAAATATTTAGTATCTGTACTATGAGAATAATAATATTATTATAAACTAGCTACTTACACGCGGTTTCACCCACTCGACTCGACTCCCATTGATCGTAGCATAATGTTTCATAGCCATAGCCATGGGCTATTCAATACAAAAATATTTTTTCTAAACCGACCTGAGATTAGCGCGTTCAGACAAACAAACAAACAAACAGACAAGCTCTTCAGCTTTATATTATAGAAATTATAAGATAAGATTAGATGTAGTTGTGCTGTAGGTTTATGAGGCCAAACTTATAGGCCGTTCAAAGTCTACAGTAATATAATATTTAGACTTTAGATCGCCTTAGTGTTTAAGTAATCTAGGTATCTCTTCCTGTTGATATTAAACTTCCTGCTTTATCTAAATTTATTCTTGTTATCAGCTCTGTTGATATTAGCATGTTGTATTAATCTGTTTTGACAAGATAAGCTGATTCGTTGGCAATTAAATCTAATTAGTTGCAATGGTTATAGTGAGTCATATATTGGTTTTTGTTCTTCGACATCGGAGACTAATAGGGTAGATGCCTAATTTTTACTTTAATGTCCGTCTGGTAGATTATTTTAAATGACACGTATTTTTTATTTTCTTTTACACGACGACGATATATTGATTTGAAATTTCGCGTGACGTCACTTCTATGTACATTTTATACGTAGTACGTACATCCAATGACGTTTTAGCCGCATTGTTAACCATTGTTTATATTCCTTTTCCTGTCACAGGACATCCCTAAAGGGATATGCAGTACCTATGTACCTCATGCTTGTAATGTGTTGTCCTCTGTAATATTGTCTGCAGTATGGTGTACATGAAATGATAAATAAATAAATGGACGCGAACTAGTGGGTGGACCCGAACTTACCCTGTACAAGTTGGTGTTGTGGTCTATCAGTATCTAGGTCTTCAAAAAGAATCGTATTGTCCTTTCTCATACATTTTATAAAAAATACCTAAGTAATAATGGGAATCAAGGTCAAATGATTTTCAGCAAAATTTTCCAAACTCTCATTCTATTTCGACATGCTACTCGTGAGGTTAATGACCGAAGATTGAATTTGTGCAGAGCATAAATAGTTCTGAAAATATAAATAAACTTCATCTACTCATATTACAATTTCCCTATATTATTTCTGATTCTGAGTTCAACGAAACACGATTGACACTTTCATGCATACTTTATTATTATATTTATTTCATACGCAATAAAAAACATTTCGTAATAACACAGTGGGTTCACGAAGTATATACCTAGTGTTGTCATCAATTAAGTGTATTGTAAGATTCCTAGTAATAAATCAGCGCAAAGAGGAACGCTGATAAAGCTGATTATAATATTATTTTTGCTTGTACACACTTGCACAGTACAGGCGCTCACAGTCAATCGTCGCGGTATCGTCGCGTCAATGTGTTCGAACCTCAATTAGTACGAGCGTCAGATTCAGTCCGCGAGACATAAAGACATCATAACAGTCTACCCGTGATCAGTGCATACATTATTCCACTAATCATGACCTTTAAACTCCACTTTTCAATCAATTTATTCACGTGATTTTATGCGAAAAACATGGTGAGAATATATTCGTGTGTTGTGTCACAAAGTGCTTTATTTAGACTGTTCATTTCCAAATATTATGTCAGGTTTCGAACTTTGATCTGAAAAAACCCAGTGGAAATTATAACACAAAATTTTACTTGCAACAACAATGCGAAAGAAACAAACACAGTTATTAAAATGAACAAATAAAAACAACAAATATCAAATTCGTTCATTAAACGGAGTTAAAAAAATATAAACAACTGTATTTGTTCGATATTGGATACACAATTCAACAAATGTTGTTCTTTTAAAATATGAATTAAATATAAATTATTTGTTGTTTTAAAAATATTGTTATTTAATTTCAGAAGTCACTTCGTGATTGCTGACGTGCTGTGTAATTTAAAAAGTGTGTGGAATTATTAAAAATGGAGAAAGGTAGCCGAGGCGTTGTGGAAACGGACGACAATGAAGAATGTCCGAAACACCCGAAATTTTTATGGCAGCCGTTCTTAAGGCAGGTTAGTACTTGAGAGCATGTTTTACACTAGAAATTATAGTTTCCGTGTAACGTGGGTGGAACATGTACTGTATGATTGATTAGGTAATCTAGTACACAACTTACATAGTGGAAGGAATTGTACACTTACAGCTAATACTTTTTTCATGGTAGTAATAATACGGTAGTGAATTGTGCTATGCTATAGAAACGAAAAGTTTTAAGTGAAAATTGTTTTATCTTTGACAACCTGTACGTTAAACCTTTCCCATTCTTTAAAAAAAGCATATACGGTCGAATTGAGAAGTTCCTCCTTTTTTTGAAGTTGGTTTAAAACGTAAATATATTTTATAATCTCCAATAGTTAAATAAAATGTATTCAAATTAAAACTATCTTTTCTAAACAACGTTTTTTCTTTTCAGTTGTACGTCTGCACTGTATGTACGTCGATATATTTCGTGTTGGGATTATGTTTCGGAGCACCCACCGTCTACATACCGCAGCTGAGGAAAGAAATGCAAGCAAACGCCACTGGGTCCCAGCTTACAGACGATATGGCATCTTGGTTGTGTAAATAATATTTATATTATTACTTAGAAACTTATAATAATAGGAAATTATTTATTGATTTTAGTTATTTTATGAAAAAGGTTCATTATTAGAAGTTTAATATATGCACTTATATTGAAACCAAGCCAGCAAGATTAGAGAAAGATTTAAATCGCATTCGCTATCGGAATGAATTGTACTTGAGAATGGGTATTGTTTTGTAAAGTGTCCATACAACACTCGTCACTAGCGTGGGAAGTTAAGCAAGAAGAACGGATGTACGCTTCTAATCATCCGTAGATTAATTAAATAATGTCCATTGAACGATGTTCTTTGTTCGAGACTAAAGTCTACAAGTCTAACGTTATTTTCTTTTATTTCCAGCTTCTATTCTCGGCTATTGCTCCATGCCATGGGTGATTATCCTACCAATACTCACGCATTACATAGGAAGGAAGATCCCCTTTCTTATTGTAACTGTGATGACACTAGTCAGCTTCATCGTGTACTACTGCAGCACCAGCCCCGTACACTTGTTAGTCAGTGAGATACTACAAGGCATTACTCTTGCGAGTAACATGACTGTTCTCATAGTCATCATTGTTGAGTACTCCACACCTCGTTATCGAGGAGTGTTCATGATGATCGAGTCGTCTATATTCTTCTGGGGAGTATGGATAGCAAATGTGACTGGCACCTTCAGTCATTGGAAGAACATTGCTATCATAGCTTTCGTGTGTTGCATATACGCAATGACAGCCATCATAATGCCCGAATCTCCATCATGGCTTGCAATGCGAGGACGTTTTGAGGAATGCGCCAGAGCACATCATTGGCTAAAAGGATACGATCAGGAATCAGAAGAGGAACTCGAGAATCTCATAAAATCTCAAAAGGAATATCGCAGAAAATGCGCAGCGCGTGTAAATTCGACTTCCTGGTATAAGCTAAGAATCATCAAAGAAACAGTTACTGCGAAAGGGTTCTATCAGCCTCTACTGCTATCTATGGCTGTAATGTCATTGTACCACTTCTCAGGAAAATTAGTTTGTTCAATGTACGCCGTAGATTTGATCAGTCAAATAACTTCTAGCGAGTCTGCTGCTTACACTGGAATGCTTATTCTGGACGCAGTAACAATACTTGGCATGCAGGTTGGTTGTGTTTTATCAAAGTTAGTAAATAGACGAACATTGTTGTTATCTTCGTCAGCTCTAGGAATCACGTTTTTGTTTATAATTTCATTGTATCTGCATTTAGTTAGTATAAAAACCATCGCAGAGAATAAGATAATATCCATTGTGTTGTTGACATCGTTCTCAGTGGCCATTACTTGTGGACCGATGATAATGCCGTCCACTATCTTCGGTGAGCTAATATTTTTGAGGTACAAAAGTTCATCGTTGCTTATACTTACATTGTTTTCTGAACTACTAATGGCAACGGTACTTAAACTGTCACCGCATATATTTAAAGCGCTCACATTGCAAGGCGCTTTCTTGTTCTACGGCATATCAGCTTCCATTTTTGCATTTATTTTGTACAAATATTTACCTGAAACCAAAGATAAAACCCTGCAAGAAATTGAGAATTATTTCAGAGAGTCCCATGAAATGGCTGAGGATTCCGCTAAAGCGTTTATTAATGAGAAACCGGATAATTATGACACTCAGAAATGTTAGAAGATTTTTATGTTTTCGTAATTATATTTAATGGCATTTACTGTGTAAATAATAAAATGTAATTTAAGTAGGTATAATTAAAATGTTTACATTGTTTCCTTGTTTTGATAATTTCTTATGTTCCAAAAAGTTAATTCTATTGCTGAACTTCTTTCATGTGTTTTGTCAAGTTGACTCGACATTAATTATGTATTATGTCATTTATATTTCATTTTCCTCATTTTCTATTGAGTTCTATAAAGAATTAAACAAGAAAAAAAATTGTTACAAAATTTTCTTAAAGATAACTGTAATAGACTTGGAATTACTTTATCAGTAGCAGTTTAAATGTCTATTACGCGTGGTTCTACAATTTTGAATTGTCCAATAAACAGTTGGAGAAGTTCTGTCTCTTGTAAAATGGGTCAAACTGGTACTGAGCTGGAGTTTTAAGTTGGAGTACAGCGAAGATAACTGATTCACCAAAGCCACAATTAAGTACCTTTTGCCGCGGAGCCCCTTGTCGACAGCACGGGTTAACTGAACAATGACCAAAATTCCGAGATTCACTGGCGCTGAATACTCAATTGCGTCTTTGCCTGTACTGTGATCAAGCCGTTGTCAGCTTTGATCCGAATTAACTGTACATTGTTTTGCACTTTCATACTTTAGAAAATGCAAAATAAAAGTGCACTAGCAGACTTCAGTTTTTCAAAGTCGGATAACTTCAGTTACAAGAATTCCAAGCATTTTGTTACTAAAGAGAATTCAGGAAGTGTATAAGTAGGTAACTAAAAGTACGATTCAAAATGGCGGCTTTACCTATAAATAGTAAGTGATAGTTGGCAAGTCCGTCGACTGTTCAGCTCACTCTTTGCTGGAGATGTGTTTTTCTTTTATTTGCAAATCTGTGGTATTTCTGACGGGTTTCCGGGAGTAGTTTTACAACGATTTTATCTTTTGAGTTGGTAATGATTAAAGTTAGTTGATTTTAATATATCAAAGTGAATATTAATTAGTATAATTCCCAGTCTAATGATAATTCTTTAACATATTGTAGTTTTTTGCTGCAAAATATGCTTCGACAAAATTCAGATGTTACTGTTTATTCACTTTTTAACGCATATTTTTTATGGGATAAACCGGTAAACGAGCGGATCACCTGATCGTAAGTAATTGGCGTTGCCCATGGACACCCGGAACACCAGAGCCGTTGCAAATACGTTACCGGCTTCTTGGGGATAAGGAATTTGAGGATTGTTGGGGGTTAGTTGGGCCTATGGTAACCTCATTCTCACAACGAAACACAATGCAAGCGTTGTTTGACGTCGGTTTTCTGTGAGGCCGTGATATCACTGCGGTCGAGCCGGCCCATTCGTGCTGAAGCATGGCTCTCTCACACTTGAAATAATTATTATGATGATATTTGATGCAAAGTTATTTTTAATTTGCAACCGTCTTATAAAATGTATCATTTATCAAGATATTCATGACCTTTAATACTACCATTATTGGAATTATGCCCGGTATATGGCAATAGGCTCACCCCCTATTACATGGGACTCATAACATAAATAGTGAAAAGTGGGTGTGACATTGTACAGTGGCATAATGTGCACTTCTGCCTACCCCTTCGGGGATAAAAGGCGTGATGTTATGTTATGTAATACTACCATTACTCTCAGTCAAAGTACCAATGAAGTCAAAGAACAAAGAGATTAACAAATAATAAAGCAAACTGTTGTTAGCTAGTTTAGCGTGACTTTGTTATCAAAATTGCACGTAGCGTGTAATCGTATCAGTATTTTAATCTGAAACGATGCCGTATCGCAGTGCATAATTAAATTATTTTAAACTATATTTACTAAGGGAAAAGGTTGATATTTATTTTTACTTTTTTGTTTTTGTATATCAACTATTAAATACTTGTTATAGAAAAAAATACAAGCAACCTTTTTAGTAAAGTGACAGCTGACATAAATGTGGAGAAATAATATTGTATGAATTAAAATTTTAGCTCATTATTTCCTACTTATGTTAACAGTGATATAACCCTTGTTTTTATGACAGAACAAAGATAAGTTAAATTGGGCCAAGCGGTTTGTTAAATATAAACATTACATTTCCTCATATTATTTTATTAATCTTATTATCAACATGACATACCTGTATTTTATAATATACTAGCTCCTGCTAGCGGTTTTGCCCGCGTTCCCGAGATAAAAAGTAGCCTATGTGTTAATCCAGACCATAATCTATAAATGTTTCAAATTTCATCTCGATCCCTTCAGCCGTTTTGACGTGAAAGAGTAACAAACACACACACATACAAACATCTTCACATACACACTAATATTAGATATAAACGTAAAAGTTTTTTTTTTTTTAACTTTGCCCCACACTAGGATTTTCTCCTGTGTCGTGGGTGCATTTACAAACACACAATATCACATACACATGACACCCAGACCCGGAACAACAATCTGTGGATCACACAAAGAGTTGTTCCTTGCGGGAATCGAACCCGCGACACGTTGCGCGGCAGCCAGTTGCCCAGCCACCGCGCCAACCGTGCAGTCATGTGTGTGTCTTTGTTTCGATGTTTGTCCGTCAATCACGCAGAAAGTAAAGAACGAATGGGCTGACTTAGGTGATAGGTTACTTTTATCCCTGATTCGATTAAATACTCCCATGGGATAAAACAGGAATCATGTTATATGCTGACGAAGTCGCGTTCAACAGCTAATTATATTTATAAATAGATTTTCTATAATTCATAGTAATGTGCACACCTTTTCAAAATGTATAAGGCAATATTAAGTTAATAGTCTTTAAGCAGTTAAGCCCACTTTCCCGTACATTTCAGCTCCATTGCTAATCTTGAATGATTAGCTTCACTTTCAGCCAAAAAACTTTCTTATCCGTTCAATCAGTGAGCCGACTTTAATTTACGGATAAATCGAAATCAGCGATTTTTTTAAAATACTTCTTTGTAGGTAGTTGTGGGATTTTCTATCTATATTGTTACCGTTATAGATGTGTTGATTATGATAGAATTTTTTTTTATGAGAGGGGAATATTAAATATCATCCTATGACTTCTCCCACCTGGGTGAGGCGAGAGGGGAGTGTTAGACTCTTGATTGACTGGCAACCCGTTAATTCCTCCGCGGCTCCGTATTGATATCAGCCCTATTGAGTGTCTGGATCTGTGGTGGTGCGATGGATCATTGAGGCACGCGCGGAACGCGACGCGCCGTACGCTCGGGTCTGGTTCTGATTGGGCGGCGAATCACCCGGGCTCGCCGTCTGTAGGCTCGTGCTTACGGTGGCAGGAGATCGTCCCGCGATCCCCTACACCCGGAGTGTGTCGATTATGATAGAATTGGATGGGTCTATTATTACAGAATTTGTTAGCTTGACTGTTGATACGAGTAAGTAGGTATTACCTCGTGTGTTCATAAGTTTTGAGACAAATTAAAAGTTGCATATCTTTTTAAATAATAAACTTATATTTATAAAAACAATAACAAACATTAAGTAAATAGTAAGTAAATATTAAATATAATTATTATTCAAAATGACCACCCCTGTTTTTAATACATGCCCTTAGACGATTTGGCCAGTCATCAATGGCGGCACGAATCTTTTCCAGAGGAATTCGCTTCGCTTCTCGGACAAGAGCTCGCTTAAGTGACTCCAAGTTTGGGTGGGACTTTCGGCAGGCTCTGAGCTCTAATTCGGTCCATAGAGAATAATCCAGCGGGTTGAGGTCGGGGCTGGAGGAGGGCCATTCGTTCGCCGCAATGAAGGCATTTTCCTTCAGCCAAGCTTGGAGGTTTTAGCCTTATGGGATGGCGCCGAGTCTTGCTGGAAAACCCAATACTTTTTATGGAATAGGGTATTAGACAGGGGTTCCACAACAGTCTCTAGAATGTCACTTTGATAATTTTTGGCTTTCACCTTGACGCCTTATTGGCAGAAATGAAGCTGAGTGACACCTTCGTACGAAACTCCCCACCATACCATGACACTAGCCGGATGATGAGTACGCGAGGCATTCCGTGCTGAAGGTGGGACATCCTTGCTACTTTTGGCATACACTTTATTGTTTTGTCGATTGAACTTTTCTTCGACGGTAAAGAGTATCTTCCTCGCATCGTGTCTCCTAAGCAGTATTGGACAACGTTCGCGTCGCAATTGACGAAGGCGATCGTTTAAAAAGTGTACTTTTCTACGGCTATACGCCTTAACCTTGAGATCATATTTCAGTATTCTGTTGACTGAAACGCGCGAAATATACCAATATTTCGCGCGTTTCTTCTTCTGCAGAGCGAGTTTCTTCTGAGTGCGACATGGATTTTGGCGAAGTCGCTCTCGGATGATTTTAATGTTCGCAGGCGTCCTCACAGAGCGTGGACGACCACTTCTTTGCCGATCATGTAAAGAACTTGTCTCCTGGTATCGTTTAATAGTGTAATACACGAAGTTACGGCTCACACCAAAACTTTTCAGTTCTCGGAAAATGTCCATAGGTTTTCTTCCCACCTTAAATAATGAAATGACGGTCGCACGTAATTCTTTTGTTCCCTCCATTACGAGAAAATTTAAATAAAATAATCCGAAATCATAGATATTAAAAGTTAACATTCCAAATTCAAAATTAGAAAAAGAAATATACAGCAGCCAGTAATTTTTATTTTATTTTTATAAGCAAAAAGTTTGTCTCAAAACTTATGAACACACGAGGTAAATGTTAATTATCTGAATTTCGACTTTCGTGTACGATTTTAAGTATCTAAGCATAGACATGATGTTTTTAGATGTTAATTTGTTAAAGGCTACTCTTTCTGTAGTAGCAGTTGACTGGGGAACTACCCATTAAACATATATGTAGATGGGCAGCAGATCTTTTTCATAAACCTGAACCTTTGAAACTTGGATTCTAAAAACGCCAGCCGCGTGTGGAGGTTACAGTAACTAATATTTTTTAACTTTCCTTTTATTTTTCTTAAAAAGTATTGTTACTAGGATTTTCTCCTGTGTCATGAGTGCGTTTATAAACATACAAGTTCACATACACACGACACCCCGACCCGAAACAACAATTTATGGGTCACAC